AAAAGAGCCTGGGAGCAAGCTAATAAGTTGCAGCATTGTGGGCTATCAAAACACTTCAGCTCACTCTGTTATTTACCAGTATGGACACACTCACAGAGACTGTGCCTGTACAGATGGAGAGGGAAGACAGAAAAGATGCAAGAAAGACTGTTATGGCTTACAGAGATACCTCCCCTGAATAAACACTCAGACTATTCCATAGTTGCCAGACAAAAAGTAGCGTTAGTTATCTAGTCTCCCCTGCAAAACAAACTTATCTATGGTCTTCAGCATGAGTCTTTGCCACTTAGTTCTTGAGATCTCTGCACCAGAAAGTACCAAGGTATCAAGGATGCCGTGATAATCTTAATTTTAAAAGACATATTTCAGTTTTATAAGCCTTTTAAGAAAAGATATCTCCCTGTGTTGACCGTCTTAGAAAACAGATCAATACACAACACAACTCAAATGTCAAGAGGTTCTTTTAACTGAAACAGCTTAAACATACGCTGTGGCTGTAAGTCAAAAGGGTATCAGTAAGCTTTTCTTACTAATTAACAGTAGTTCTTTCTTCGTAAAGTCTGTGGATCTATCTGAACAGCAAGCATGAATTAGACCTCCCTGGATAAGAAATCAGGAAAGGGAAAGCTGCAATTGCCTGCTCTCCAGCAGACAGCTTCATTCAAAAAATCTGCCAGCGAAAGCCCAGATAGCTGCATGGATATCACTGTGACCTGATACAAGGCTTTATCAATGTTTCAGCTAAAATTATTAAGATTGTTGCCTGCATCCCTTGCTTTATTAGTCACTTTTTAACCGACTCATATTATTTCCCATGTGTTTCAGAGATCATTAACTCTCAGAATTCTTTCCAAAACCCTGATCTTTAATCACAACAGAATTACTAGCACAGTGTTCACCAGGATCCATCTATGATGTGTTTAGACTACACCGAGACTTGGTCCAAGGTATTTTATATATATGTACTGCCTATCATATAAAGGCAAAAGAGATTAATTCCTGGTTACTAACAGCTTTTAAAAACTGTTTTCCAAAAAACAGTGATGTGGAGATCTGAATTTCATGAACTCTAAAGCTCCTAAACAAGCTAGGAAGGACAATCACAGTCATCTGACTCTACTTTTGGCATAATGCAGGTCCCTGAACACAACCAAGGCACAGTTCCAGTGCCCTTATCTTACAGTTGAAATATTACCATTCTTATAGTTCAACACCTCCCGGGCTAGAGAAGCTACTACTTCTCTTCGAGGTCTCTTCATACCATTATTTATATCTCCCTACTAAAAGCATGTCCTATTTCCAGCACTTGCCTCAGCTTACATACCTCTTTCACATACTGTACGTTGCTAATGCAAACAGCCACAGGCCTGTTCCACCAGCACTTTGACAGGAGATATTGCCATTGGGAAGTGACGTGCACCCACTTAAGTGCATCTATGCCCGAATACCTAGAATTTTCCCCCTTCAGACAGGGATTTTAACTTCAGTATTTTATTGCACAACATGATTTCTGAACATGAGGTGGCAGATAACATAACCAGTGCAATAAGATCCAGTGAATGAGAGCTGTATCACAGCTTCCAGTAAGTTTCCAACAGGAATACATGCAAACAAACAGCAATACGTACTCCAAACTATTTTAGTCATCTGCATAACGGAGAGTCCTGCAGAGTTATACTTGTGAATTAGTGTAACAATTACAGTTACAGGTGAAAGAAATGCCTTACCAACACTTTTAGAACAATGGTGCCTGTATGAGGGGAACACATCTTATAGCCAAAAATAAGAACATTAGAAACATTAGAAAAGAACATTAGAAACAACTTGCACTTTACATCAAAAGGTGAACGCTGCTATGGATATACTCTTATTCAAACACTGGCTGAACTTATGGAAATGACTCAAATCTCCAAAAAAAGTTCCAATTCTTCCTGACCTCAAAATTCAATTTCAACAACAGTGCAGCAACATCAAGAACAAAGAACTAAGTTCTTCAATTACCTGAGGAAAAACAGAATTCTTATAGCACAGCAAGGAAAGAAAAAAAACCTAGAGCACAGAGACTAGGAAAAGCATTGAGATTTTTATTGGGAAACTGTCTGTATTTGTTTAGTCCACAGCTTTAATAAACATTGCAATACAGTCTTCTAACCTTGTCTATGATGCAGTTATTTTGCAATTGTTAACAGCATAGAGCACGTAGAAACAGTAATGATACCACAGCATTAGCAAAATGGTTGTCTTAATACGGGCCAGAAGACCTGTCAGTTTTTTCCCCTGCTTTATTTTCATATAATTTGGAAAAAGTGTTGCTCCACTGACAGAAAAAAGCCTCCTAATATATCCACGCTGTTTGTATTTGGAAGTTCTGACAACTCAGATAAAACAATACAATTTAGAAACAGATACTTAAATAATTAAGCTCTCCACATACTGAGGGGATCCTATTACTAATGAGGCAGTGAAACAACAGGTTGCATTTTTATAATACTGCCTCAGACTCTGCAGCATTCTCCCTCTCCCCTTTTCATCTCACTTCCTCCAACTGAATGTTAACAACAGATAACTAGAAAACTACATTCTACTTCTACATTTGCACAGGGCCAAACACAATGTTTTGGTTTATGTGCAGAACTCCTACACAACAAAAAAATTATTACAGACAGCTCTAATAAGTCATTTGAAAATGTGCTGATCCATTAATCCAACAGTATGAAGAAGAAATACCAGCAGGTTTTAAAAAATGGCAGGACAACCAGGAGGCCTGTACAAACAGTGGCTTGTGACAAATGGTAACTGGAACAAGCCAGTTTCAAAAGCTTAGCATTATTTAATCTCTAAATTATTACAGTTTTAAAATTATTACTTTATTGGACTATGAGGTAGGATTTTTATCTGTGGTTTCTCCTTTTCCAAATGCAAAAGCCCATTTGTGAATCATGCAGTTACAAAGTTGAAAGCAGCACTGTTTCCTCTTTCAAAGTGGAGCTAGTTAAGATAAAAGCGACTAACAACAAATAGTACTTGAAATTTTCCATGGAACGACCACATTTATTGAGAATATTAATACTGAGTGTGTGACCTCCCAGACTTTGCAGAGGAAAGGAATTGTAGATGATTTTTAATTTTCTTTCTGTATTTCACTGACTTGGTATATGATAACTCAGATGGGATACGAGCTGTGGTGCTGACATCTGCACTTTCAGGGCATCAATGCCCCCTCAGTCAGTAGCCTCAAGTCCACCTTAGAGGCAGCCATCCAAGGTGGCTGACTGCCCGTAGCATCTTACAGACTCCCCTCTCCAACCTTTGTCTCACTACTATTCCTGGATGTGAAACTCCTCTGCATAGCTTTTAAAAATTTAGCTTTGGCCTGGTGCACCTCCAACAGTAGCCACCATCTGTGGCACTAAAGGACTGTTCTCAGGGCTGCTGACTATTGTTCTGAGGAGATGCAATGCTTCCTCTTCCCACCCTGTGCTGTCAGAACTACAAACAATTCAGTTCTTCCACAAAAAGCATAAATTCTGCATCTTTTCTTAAACAAACTGCCAGCAAACTTTATATGAAGACACAAAAAAAGAATGCTGAATGCTTAAAAATAATCCATATTGAATATCAAGGCAAGAAAACAATGAGTAATAACTAGAGAATACAGGATAAACTCCCAGAAGTCATTAAAGCAAACTGCTTTAACGCATAATTGCTATTTGTTTTCCATCTAACTACTCGATAACTACCTAGTTATTCACTATTCAATGTCTTTTCAGTTACAATTCACTTAACAGTTTTCATTACCCTTACATTTTACATCAAGGCTTTTTATGATTACTGAAACCAACTCAATTTGTGAATTAAAGATTGGAGGAAAGTACAACTCAATATAAAACAGAAAATCACCCTAGTGTTGCAATTGCAACGTACTTCTGTATTTAACAAATTTAAACATCAGTCTGCACGTGTTATTCTCTCATATTACTACAATAAACTTCACCTCTAGCATGTCTTCCCTTTTTTCTGTTACCTGTTGAGATTTTTTGGCACCTTGAGTCTTCACAGTCCTGGTTATAGATTATTCTACAAGGCAGACCATAACACTTGTCAACTTAAAGAAGGTTATACTTCATACTTAGTTATGATAACTCAAGTCACACACCTCTATAGGAAGTTTACACAGAAGCATGAAGCACTCGAAGGACTAGGAAGGACAGGCAGAATAGTAACAAAAATAAGAGTACAGAATAGAGAAAGTAAACAGATCGACAAACTGTTATTATAAGAGAGATTCTTTAAGGCGAGTGAACTGAAAAAAGCTTTCCAACAGGAAGCGCTAGCAAGCACTGAAAAAGAGATGAAGAAACCCACTGAAACTGGCATGTATCACTTCACAAACATATTTTCAGCTGCATTTTTATCCTCATGTTACTGTATTTGTCTGAAAAAGTGCCTTACATAGCTGAGTATTCATATCTTTCGTCAAGGTACATAATTTAAAGATATTTCTAAAGTGATTTAAAATATCCTGCTCCTATATGGGTACTCTTTAAAGAACTTCCTCATTTTAACCTGTATATTCCAATTTCAATTATGCTCATTAAACATTAAACATTCTGCAGTAATGGCCCTATTCAGCAAAGCACTTCTCAGCACAAGACCAACTTAAAAAACCCCTGTTATTTGGCTCCCAAATAAGTAAGGTCACCTCAGTTTAATCTGTCTAAAAACTATTTATGATACTGAAAGACATAGTATGTCTATCAATAAGACCAAAGCATATTTTCTTGAAGAACGCTGCTCAAGTGAAAAAACACAACAGATGGGAGCAATAAAACTTTTGTATTAAAGAAAACTATGCAGTTTTGCAGCTATGGTATGAACGCTCCTACTCAAGGCATTCTCTTTTGCCCCTCCTACCCCTAAATACACATATTCCAGTTCTGCCACACATTTGGCCTCCATAATATACAGAAAATCCATTGAATCTAATACAAGTTTAATACCTGCTTCATGTATGCATAGCACATGGTCTCTGCAACCCGTTTTCCTTCATCATAGCAGGCTCTCGGACCTATTGGATTCACATGGCCCCAGTAATCCTCATTTTGAGGGTGAACTTCAGGATCTACATGGAAAAAAACAACAGCTTAAGTGACCTTCTATCAAGTAGGCGACTATATATAATGTATCTTTCAGTAGATCACTGGTGTAATACTCTCTGAATTATGTATTTAAAAAATATTAAGTTCCAACACCATTCCTTAGAAGTGTATTCAATAGAACCACAAAAATAACAGTGATGGAAGATGTGAGACTCTAGTAAGATAACTGAGTACAAGCAAACAACAGCCATCATCTGCTTTCTCCTAAAAGAGTGTGTGAACTGAGGGTTAAATTCAACTCTTCTCTGCAAAGACAAACTACCTCAAGGCCATAAATAAGACCGTTATCTAAAGTAATTCAGAGGAAATATTATGTTATGTAGGCTGCACTTTTTACTGTATTTGGAAAAAAAGAAAGCACAGCATCTTCAAATTTTATAAAATAAGAAAGAAGGACAGAAAAATGGACATCATGGAGAAAGAAGTACTGCACTTCTAAAAGAAGAAAGAGTAATGTATTTGCTATGTTTCGTCTGTTTTATCCTAAGCATTTTACTAGCTATCACTGAGCACAGACAACCAGGTTAGACAATCCTTTGATTTGATCCAATACAGAAGTTCTTGATTACAAAAAACCAACCAATCAAAAATCTAGGAAGCTCTGTGTGTGTGTACGCGCTTTATGTGCAGTTTTTACGTAGACAATCCTTTGATTTGATCCAATACAGAAGTTCTTGATTACAAAAAACCAACCAATCAAAAATCTCCTAGGAAGCTCTGTGTGTGTGTACGTGCTTTATGTGCGGTTTTTACGCTGCTCAGAGACATGATTACAGATGAACTCCTGCCATACGAGAGCCACAGAGCAAATGCAAATGCAGAGAGGTTTTACATTATTATAAAAGCCTGGAGCATTCTTAAAAGGGCCCCAGAAGGTGCTGTGATCTGGAAGGCTGCTTCAGTTTCTGTCTCCTTTCTGTCAGTGGCAGCCCTATGAAGCACTTGGAAACTCTCTATACAACACTGCTTTGAGAACTCCTGTGGAAAGAGCTAACAGACAATTTCTGACTTTATTTTCTGTCCTTTATTATTTAGCAAAATTACTTCATCTGTTTATTCTGAGTACAATGTGAATAGACTCTCTTCACTGGCTTTACTGACACAACAAAGCCTGATAATGGGAGTTCGAAGTCTTTCTTTTAGGAAGATTGCAGCAGAGCACTGAGGCTCCAAAACCTGGGGATTTTTTTGCCTGTTGGTTCTCTGTTTCAGAAGGAGTTTGTTCAACTTCAGAAGAATCCTTGGGGCTACCATTTTTCTCTGTGGAGCCTGACAATGGAAGGGAGACTCAAGCTGCTTATTTGTCTGCCCAGCCATCTTGCTTGGGTATTTGCTTTGAGTCTTCTTGACTGAAGTTATTCCACCAGAAGTGTACTCCCTGAGGTATGCTCTTTGTCTTTCCTCAAAGCTTTTTATCTTGTTACAGAGATGAGTATTTTTCCTTTTCCTTTTTTTTTTTTAAAGCCTAGACTCTCACAACTACTGATGTTGAGCAGGTGACTGTGCCTCCATGCCTCTATTAATCTTGCAACACCGCTACGATCAATTAGACAAGAGTTCACAACAGCACAAGGTTTCTCTAGTAGGCACACAGTATGTCACACACCCCAAGGAAGTACTAAAGATTCTCATTGCATCCAGCTAGCAGTTCTATCAGTCATTCTCTTGCTACTTCACTTCTTAGCAACAGCAAAAGGAAGAAGGCAAGATATGGCACCATTGCTCAATATTATGTTTTATCAGACACCACAATAGCATGCACACGCAATCACTATTTTGTCTTAGCTTGGAGGTTATATCCTTGTTTCTTGCACTGTGCTGCACACACTAGGAAGAGAGAAGCAGATTTGCTACTGAAACTATCTTCCTTCACAGGTTTTCATTATGGCATCTGGATTTTAATCAGAGTTGAACACTCAAAATTCCCCCACAAGCCCTTTTGAAAAAGAGCCATAAACTAAGACATAGGAAAATTACAAAGTCCAAGCCTCCTTCCACCACTCTGACAGGAGATTTAAGGCAAGTACTAGTATCCACATTTTCAGCTGCGAGCAGTATATCTGATAAAGAAATCAAGCTCAGACAGTGATGAAAAGCTATCAATCATTCAAGAAAAAGTTTGTAAATATCCTTTTACAGAGTCAGATCTCAAGAGCTCTAAACATTGTTTTATCCTTCTTACCTCCATACACCTCTGATGTAGAGGCCAGCAGCAGCCGAGCTCCAACACGTTTGGCTAAACCTAAATTTTGGGCAACAGGGAAAGAAGAACATAATTAGATCAAGTTCAAGAATCTTTCAGTCATATTAACTGCTTTAGTGCATGTCCTGGTTTCAGCTGGGACAGAGTTAACTTTCTTCATAGTATCTGCTGTGATGCTATGTTTTGAATTTTTGCTGAGGGAAAGGCTGATAACATACTGACGTTCATAGTCACTGCCAGGACAGTCAAGGACTTTTCAGCTTCTCTGCTGTGCCAGTGTCTGCAGGTGCAGGAGAAGCTGGGTGGGAACATAGCCTACAATTACTGGCTTAGGATTCAATCTCAGGTGAGGATTGTGACCCAAATTGTCTAGCCAAGTGGGTCAAACCACAACAATTTGATCCCATTTTACATAATTTTAGAGAGAATTTTGTTTCTCTCAGTGGATAAATCTAGCTGTAAATCACATCCATAGCTCCCACTCCCAAGCTAGAAGACTTGAGAAACAGGAGAGCAGCACCCACAAGTTACACTGAACACAGATCCAAGAACTCAATATATTACACTCTAAGTAAAAACCAAGGAAAGCATACACTGTTCCAGTTATGAAATCAAAATCTTGAAGCAACACACTATATCATGATTACCAAAACTTAAAGATAAGCCACATAAAGAAACTGATACAGAATAACATGTCATAGGATAAAATCAATAATTTTCCTTTTATTATGCCCCTTTAAACAGCCTGGATGATCCCACCCATCACTCGAGATTATTCTGCACTCCATTACAATTACTTTCTTGCCTTCAAGTTGGCATGGCAAACCAAGTAAGTCTCTCATCTATGCCATACAACTGTCTGGTACCTCAACAGCTTCTAAATCACTTAACTCTCTGAACTGTACTCACTAGGGTATCACTCAAACAACAAACTCAGCTGAGGTAAAGCCCAGTGTTTGTTTTTTTGTTTTTTTGGTTTTTTTTTTTGCCTCATAGTAACTCTTAGGATCACTGACACCCAGTTCAAGCTGCAACATATGCAGATAGGAGGAAAAACTAGTGAAGGCTTGAGGCCTTCTTCTTATAGGCCCATTCCCAGCATCAAAACCAATAGACAAAGTTGAAAAATGTTGCCTTGTAATTATCTAGCATGAAGCTAGACATTAAACGCTCTTGCGGAATTTGCTAGCCAAGGCATGCATAAGAGGGTGCAGTACTGCTTTTCAGGGTTTACAGAGCCAATGCAGTTCCACCTAGTTCAACATTTGCTGTGGTGAAAAGGAACAGTCATTCGTGGTAATGTTCCACAGTCACCAAGGTGACAAGTGCAGCCATGGACACAACTTTGCTATAAAAATTCCATGCTCTTAATTGTTTCTATGACTTCTATAATTCCTTCACAGTTATTACTCCATAGCTAAGTCACAGGCATGAAGTTCTTGTGCTTTGATACCTGAACTTGCGCGTGGTCAGAGTTCATCTGCAAATACATTTAAAACACAAAAATCTTCAAAGAGAGGGAAAAAAAACCACCTTATTTTTCTAAAAGAATCAACTTCTTGAAATGTTCAACTCATCTACTCCATCATTCCCTCCCTCCAATAACGCTGTCCAAGTTACATTATATCTAACAAAGTTTACTAAGAAAAAAATTTCCACTTACCCAGCATGTTTAATGTCCCAATAGTGTTGGTCTTTAATGTTTTTATAGGATTATACATGTAATTTGGAGGAGAAGCAGGAGATGCCAGATGGTAGATCTGGTCCACTACAGAAAAAGGCGGGGGGGGTGGGGAAGAAAGCATTATTATTATTATTATTTTCCCATGTAACATATTAAATGAGAAAGCATTAGAGTCAAAACCCAAGTATTTCTTTCTGCCTTTCCTAGCATTGTAATTCAGCACTTCCTATACTGCTGCCTACAGATGATATATATGCTAACTTGTTGTAACCCAACAAAAGACTTAATTTTTAGTACCACAAAACCTAAAGCACAGTACATATCACCACTGTTGATACAGATACAGAAGTCCGTGTGGGTGTTGACACTTTCCACTTGTAAAAATTTTAGTTATAAGTACTTCAGAAGCTGCAAAAGTATATGCAACATTTAAGTGACTATCACAGCTTCAGTATTTTTCTTAAATGAAATCCCAAGCAAAGATGACAACACTTTTTAATACCAGGAGGAACCTTCTGGGAAAAATAAACACTATATTCTTACTTGTAAACCATTTGTCAATGAAATATTAATGGATTAGTATCATATTTATATTTTAAATATATATGCCAAGACACGGGCATGCAACTTTTGTCCTTTTCCCCCTACCTACTGCCTTTGTTCTATGCTATGCTTTAGGTAATATAGCATTTTAGCTTAATAAAAAAAAATCTCCAATACAGAGACTTCAGTCCCCAGCCCCCAATTATGAAATATAATTGACCAACATACAGACATTATCTTACAATCAGTGAAGGTATACCTGCCCTAATTTAAAATAAGGTAGCTTGGGTATTGGCAACAGATTGCCCAGGTAATACAAGTCCCAGCATTAACTAATTATATTTGCTGCATTTCTGTGATAGCAGGGTAAACAAACCTAAAGATTCAAAACACCCATAGGAAATATTTATTCAAAACAACAGCAAAATAGAGGCTAATACAACAAAACTAAACAATTACGCCATTGTCAGGAGCACAGACTTGGTTCAAACCCCAGGATTCTTAATTTAAAAATTATTCCTAGCACAAGAGAACAAAGAGAGAAAAGAAAGTGAAGCTGAAAGAGATTTTAAGTTCAAAGGCCAAATGTGTCATCAATCACTGCTTCTTTTTCTCTCCACCTTCTTCTACTGCAGTTTATTCTATCTTAAGCTAAATCAATTGTGATGTGCTGTCTATTCATCCAGTACCAGGCTTACTTGTTTATTTTCATCTATTTACCCATTTTCATAAAACGGTTTATTTCCAGAACAAGCGTGGAAGTAATTTCTACTAAGGTAGTTCAGCAGACACATACAGGTATCATAAATGGTATTTGATACGAAGAAAGCAAGCACACAGGACTTAATTTAACTTTGCTTTTGTAACAGGCCATCAGGAAAGCTTCCATTTCTTGCTTCAGAAATTCAAAGAGCTCAGCTCACCCCAGCAGATTTAAAGAACTGAAAAAACCCTCAATAAGCTGTGCAGTATTCCAGAATCAGTTTAAAAATACGAAACCTAAAAGAATCCAATGTATTAGTTGATTCATACTGATAATCATTAAATTAGTATTTGCCTAAACTTTTGAGATCAGCTTCAGCATATCAGGGTTGCAAAATGCATTGCATAAGAATGCAAAGGCTGGAGGTACTACAGGGAAATTTTGTTAAATTATAATAAAAACAAAGCAATAAAAACTGGACTCATTTTCACAAGCAGTATCTGATATTCAACAAACCTCACCCTGCAAGCCTTTCATAGCACAACTATAAATATTAAAATGTTTTCTGTCTTCTGTGTAACATGAATCACAGTTAGCCAGAGCTAGTTGAAAAAAAAAGCATGGATAAGCAAATGCAAAAACCCCCTTAAACGTAAGAAAAAATAAGACACAGTGATGCTTAAGAAAGAAAAAGAACAAATCGCCTACCAAGGTCATCCAAGAAAAGTAGTCAAAGAACAATATAAGAATTAGAATGGTAGGATGGAAGAAAGGAAAGCGATTCCTTCCTTGTGTTAACAAAAAGGAAGTTTGGGTTTAAGAAGACTCAGCGCTGAAACCTGGGAAAGTCAAGACTAGCTGCTATTCTGACAGAAGACAATATTAAGTCAGATAAGGCTGTCTTGCCCTAGAACAGAACACTCTTGGTCAAATGGTACACTCAAACAAATATGTTTCTTTTAACCATTTTCTCAGGTGGTTAATAATTAACAAGCAGTAACAAATGACTGCAATATAAAATAAAGCTGCATTTTGACAATGTATGGATTATCATTAGCCCTCTGTTATGTTTAATTTTCACAGTGTCTGTGACAATGAACTTTTTTTACAGTTTTAAATTCGTCATTCTGCTAAAACCAGGGTAAAAGCTTCCTTGAGTTTAAAAAAAAAAAGGCAAATTCGTCTAAATTTTCCTTTTCTCTATTTAAATGAAACAGCGCAGGCTGTATACGAGACACAACTAGCAGGAAAAAAAACCAAATCAAATATGAAGTTATCAAAACAGCCCAGAAAGCTGGAGATACCATCTTGGCAGACATATCACACTGGTGAGGACTTATTATCACATAAAAAAGACAGACTGTTGTAGCAGATTGCTCTGCTATTTGCTCTCATATTAACAGAAACTGATGCTTCCATTCACTATCAACTCCAGCGCAGCATCAGAAGAGAACTTTTCACAGAAGGCAACCTACAGTAGCAATGCAATTAGTATCCAAAGACAGCCTGACACAGCAAGCATTGGAGGAAGTGAGCTCCCAGCACAGGCTTGATTCAAAGCCCTGCCCGCATAGATAATGCAACTGAAACTTTTAGGATTATGGCTACAACATTAAAATAGTTAATTGTTCTGTGTGATGAAGTACAATGTGGAATAATTTATCCTTATTTTGGTCACTGCTGACATGTAAGCTTCAGCAAATTATATTCAATCAAATTACTTTGCAGGATTTCTTGGGTTGGGGCAATAATACAAAGAAGCAGCATGGGGTAAAGTTTAATGGGTCTGTTAAACTGTGACATATCTCCCACAGATGAGCCATGAATATGAATGAAATATGTAACTGCCTCTGAACATAAGCTTCCTCTTCCAACAGCACAATACTGTCATGAAACCAAAGGAAAGGGGTAGACTGGAAGCTGACAAAAGAAACGTTCATAGGAGCTGCTGACTGCTGCTTGCAGGCAGCAAGTTAATTCAAGCAGTGGCTAAAAAAAATGAGCAAAGCAACAGCTAAAGCCACCTGCAGCAAATGCAGAGCTGAACTCTGACCTGAGTTTCATGCTATTGCTTTCTACCTATTCCTTCATAACCTTTTCTAAATCTAGTTTTCAATAAGCTGTGGTTGAATTGAATGGTCAGAGGGCTGGAGCACCTCCCTTGTGAGTACAGGCAGACAGAGTTGGGGTTCTTCTGCCTGGAGAAGAGAAGGCTCTGGGGCGACCTTATATCAGCCTTCCAGTACCTGAAGGTGGCCTACAGGAGAGATGGGGAGGCACTCTTTATCAAGGGGTGTAGTGAGAGGACAAGGGGTAATGGGTATAAGCCTAAAGAGGGTAGATTTAGATTAGATACTAGGAAGAAATTTTTCACTGTGAGGGTGGTGAGCAGGTTGCCCAGGGAAGCTGTGGATGCCCCATCCCTGGAGGTGTTCAAGGCCAGGCTGGATGAGGCTTTGAGCAACCTGGGCTAGTGGAGGGTGTCCCTGCCCATGGCAGGGGGACTGGAACTCGATGATCTTTAAGGTCCTTTCCAACCTTAACCATTCTATGAGTCTACGAAAGGCTGTGCAACGCTTTATGTAGATAGGTAAGGACCATAAAAGAACAAATTATAACAATAAAATTCTGCAAATTTCGTACGTAACTCGCATCAGGGGCTAGAACTCTGTGTGAACACAGCAGCAAGAAGTAGTTTACCAAGCACAGGATGGTAGACTTAGCGATAAGATAAACATTAAACAAATTTTTCATGTTACAATTTTGCTGAAAAAAAGCAAAAAATTAAATTCATTTCAAAGTAGCACAGACACACAAGTTGGTATAAACACTCAAACCATCACGTACAGAGTGACAAATACAGAAATCTGTGCTCAGCATAAATAAAGCTTTAGTAGTATATTGCAGGATCAACAGCAACTGAAATTTGTCAGTTGTGCCCTTTTCTATGTGAAACGCTCAAAACTCCCCTATAATTCAGTATACATGGAATCTGTAATACCTAAATCCAGACACAAATGTTTGTTCTTGTGTTCACCTTAATGCTGAACAAGTATGATCAATATAACCACTCACTTTTACAAAATATTGCGATAAAACTACCTTCCTTCATACCATGTTTTAAGTTTCCAGCTGTATCACTGCATGTGTTCTGCGTGCTTCCTAAATGAATACTAAGGGTAGAATCTACAACCTTTCCTACGACAGGAAGTGACATTCCTTCCTACGAAGGAATGACCTTCATCTTCAATTTCTGCCTTCAACATGTGTCATGGTACCAGAAAGAACTAAACAGGTCACTAAGTCCACTAAGCAGCTGCATCCATCACTGTACTTGCTAGTCAGGAAGTACTAAGCAGAAAAGCTTTGATCAGGAGCGTGCAAACAAGTTTCTACAGCTTAACCATATGGACTTTTCTTGTAAAGATCAGCTATGCCAATTCCATTAGTGTAGGTCAGGCCAGTGAAGCAAGACATTTCTATTGCACTGAACTAAAAAGGACTACAAATATAAGGTCATCTTCCTGATGTTAAAAATGTTTCCTGTAACGTAAAGCAAACTAGAATAACTTTATAAGGGTTTACCATATTGCTCATACTGAAGACGTTTTGGGAGAGCTTCACAAGAGATCCAGGCACCACTACAATTGACTCTGGACAAACACAATTAAGCAGCATATGTTATCTTCTGCCTTGTCATGACTTTCCCTAATTCTGCAATTTAAAACCATCAAGTTGAATGTATTAAGTACCTGGGACAGGGAATGAAGACTAGGGGGAGTAAAATCTGGAAGTACTCAAGCAAAAAAAAAGCAACATATTGAAGGCGCTCACATAA